ATGATTTTCGACAAATAAATATATCGCATTAATCCTCTTGCGGAGTAGAACATAAATATGCTAGGTCCTGTTGAAATAAGGCACCGATCCTACTAAAATTTGGGCTCAAAATTGACCAATTTCACTAGTATTAAAACCATTTTCCAACAGTAAATTCAAAATTTTTCATAGGGATGGTAAAAAAAAACTATTTCAATCCAATACCCATGGAGCCCTCCTTGAATTGGACTAAATTACCCGTTTAATCGGATAAACGGGACTGGATGGGATGGGGGGTTATTGCCCCAAAGCAGGTATGTGGGGGGTCTCATCTAAAGTTAATTTCAAATTTAAATTTTTTATCAAACAAAAATAAAAGATTTATCATCACTTTCAAAGAGAACATAAGTTGTTATTAACAAAATGATAATATTTATTAACTAAAGATAAAAAATAAAAAAGGGGTGATAAATGGGGTAAGGAACATGTCCCTCTCCACCCCGATCCCGCTCAGATGTCACTCTATCCCGTTTTAATCGAGTATAAGGATGAAGTAAGGTAACAAAAATATCACACAGAACAAAGGTGAGAATGACCGACTCGTTCCATACCCCCATGTTGTCATCCCTCACTTTTTCATATTTTTTAACCACATATTTTCCTATAAATCACTATTCAAAACATTTTTTTTTTCCCATTTAATAGTTGTCAAATAGGTACATATTTAAATAAAATTAGAGTCATACTTTTAAATTTCAATTATAACTTTTAATATGAATCTCACGTCGTTCACAAGGAACAAAATATATACACAATCTCAAATTATTAAACAATACAAATATATTTTTATGAATTCTAAATGCCTCCCTATTGTGTCTCGTAGAATCATGGTTGTGACATATTATGACATGTAGAATCGTTATTGTGATCGGAAAACATGTGGAGAAAAATTATGAATTCAAGGAGCTACAATTTATTCTTTCCTTATTCTTAGAAATGTTAAAATAAGGGAGAGAATTATATAAATCAATTATTATCTATTTTCATATTAAAAAAATCGTGAATTATGACCTAGTTTATGAAAGTTTCTCGACCTTTGATATCTCTACTATAATCTCAAAGTATGATAGTTACGATTTTTAATAGCCAATATCAACAAGTTTAGATTCTAACAAGGGCTTGACGGAACCCAACTCATGCCCACAGAAGCCAAGTTAGGCATCAAAAGATTTTCAAACCGAGTAAATGTTGTCTTATATCGCCAATGTAGAGAGTAGAATTTAAATAGCAGCTCAAAATTTGAGTTTATCCACACAAAATCTGTTTTTTTTTTTTTTTTTTTTTTGTAATTCCGCCAATAATGAAAACAAATCATATTAATTCTTATGAAAAGTTACAACATACTATTATAAACCTCATATATTTTTAATATCAGTGCTTGTAATTTGTATAGTACTATAATTTTGATCATATAAGAGAAAATATGAATTAATGGTACAGTAAAATAAATCTCATATATTTTTCGGCGGCGGAGTTGCGGCGGTGGCGGCTTTGAACATTATATCAAAAGCATTTTCAACACAAGACTTGTACTTGAGAGGATCTATCAGCCCATTTTCTGTTCCCACTGCAATCCTCAGCTGTCCCATGTAGCTCACCATTGTTATTGTAAGATTCTGCAAATTCAACAACATTTTTTATGTTTAAAAGAGTGAAAATATATGACGGAGAAAATATGGAGCCGAGGCCCTTGCCGCCCTACTATATATTTGACACACCCATTCATCAGTTTTTGTTAGTAAATGATTTCAACTCTCAAAATTAGGTCGATACATAGTACACTACATAGCTCTAGGATTGAGGGGTCCTAAGTATTATGTGGTCAAAAATGACGCCAGATCAACTTGTACACTTGAAAAATGTTTTCCAAACATGCACGTCTAATTATTTACACGTTAACGATATATTTAATGAAGAAATAAACACATTGAAAGTGCACAAATCATTCTCTTCCTCGTTAGATGAGAACTATAGGGGTACTTTAGGTTGCGTCACGAGACTAAATGAAAGAAAGATGTACATTTAGTACATTTATTTGTTGTCATGTTCAATTTAACATGGAGTTCTTGATAAATGTACTATTTTTCTACCTACCGATTGATTAAATTATTTTTTTTTTGTCATTGACGGAGAAATCTTTTCTACTAATTTCCTTAATTTTCAGAAAATGAAAATCTGTAATTTGAAAAACTAATAGTTTGAAGAGTTTGTGACAATGATAACATTTAAACCCACTAATTTTTTACTTTTTATTTTTTAAACAAGAAAAATATGTGAATTGTGAAATATTTGTACCTGAGGAACACCAACAACCATGAAGTACAAGCCTTTAATAGGATGATTTGCCAAAGCCATTCTTTCCACTGGTCCAATCACATTTGATACTGTCATGCTTGTGTTCTTAAGCGTGCTATGAATGTATTTAGCAGTCGCCTGAAAATAATTCAACCAAAATTTTAAACCATACCAAATATATATAACATCATGTGCTCATTTTAAAGCACAGATCAATCGACATACGTACCTCGGGTCCTTTATACCTCCTAACTGTGTCGAGTAATTTTCCGGTTAGAATAACTGCTGACGAATTTTTCTTCCTCATTATAATGTCGTGTGTTTTGAGTGAAAAATTTAGAGGATTTGATAACTCATTTCCAGTCAAATGTGGAACAGAAACATGAATGAATGCAAATTGGTTCCCCCATGGTGACTCTGCATCTGTTTTCACCATTTCTTGCACAGATTTGTAGCCACCAATGTTTCTGGTATTGAGCAACACCAATGCAGTGGAATCAGCATTCTTCTGCTCATTATTCACTTCTTCCATGTATAATCTCGTCCCCAAGAAGATTACTCCACATATAACACCATTTACAGTCTGTTGAAAAATGTATGAAAGCCTCAATATTAGAAAAATATTTTGAATAATAACACTTACTGTGCAAAGAGAAATCATGCCCTTTTTTGACAAAGCTTTGAAATTTTTTAGTAGATTTTGATAAAAGTTGATAAAATGTGTGGATAAAATTAAAATTTGACCAATTGAAAAGTTCATAAAATTTGAGCAAAGTCAATCAAACAAGCACTATACATTAAAAAATAGATTACAATGTGTGTATTGTGTGTTTTTTGTATGGGTAGGTTGAGGGGTCATGAGAAGGTATAAAAGGAAAACCGATACATACGTCTAGAAAAAATATATTTTGAAAATAATTGAAAAATGTAAAATATCTGAAAATTTTTGTATATATCCTTAGTATTTTTTTTTTTCCTTTTTAATATTATTTCTTGGACCTTTCTATTTCAATTGCATTTAATCCTTAGTCCCCATCCCTACACCCCACATTACCTAAACTAGAAAATAATTTATATAACAATTCATCATCGCATTTCTTGAGCTGACCCTACGAATAAATGAGCAATTCAGACCAAGTAAGGAACATTGATGAGTTTATGGTTCTATCTGCACGTTCTAGATTTAAAATAAATTAAAAAATGATGACATTTAATTGTATCTCCTAACATCATCCATTTGTTGGAGGGCAGTTGGCATTAAATATTTTATTTTATTTTTTTGGTTGATTTTTAGTTAGAATAATGATAGGTTCAATTAAATAAATCATGTGACGTTGTATTTATGTGAATTTATTATTTAATGTCATGCACTTGCCACCTAAACTAATATTGAATAGCATTACTCTTTCAATTATTTTGGTGCGTGCAAAAATAAAGCAACTTTCCAAAATAAGCATGTTCGGTTATTTTTAACAATAAGTTAAAATAAATGGTCGGACTTCATTTTCAAGAACTCTCAAGAATATATATTGAATGTATAATCAATCATAAATCAAAGAATGTTCAAGAATAATCAAGTATAGTCTTACCACTTGAAGAATTTCCTTCATTTTCTTAATTTGATCAAGAGTGAAAGTCATGGTGGTGATGGTGATTGGCCGAAACTCGACTCCATCATCACCGGACCTTATCGGGGACTTACCGTCTTCAATAGCGCTGCTCTTCAATAGGCTCCATCCGAAATCTGATAGAGTGTTACAAATACCAGTCACATTCTTGAAAATGCCCTTATGATCATCATCAGTATTCATATTCTGATTCATCAGTGCAGGAAATGTTAAGGGCAGTTGAGGATTTTCTGCCCTTTGCAAGCAAGAAAGAAGGGCTCCCATTAGAGAAAAACCATCTCCCAATGCATGGTGCAGCCTGAAAACAACATTTCCAGCTGAATTTGTCGTAGGATATTTGATTATGTGAATTTCCCATAATGGCCTGCTTTGTGGCAGCTGATCCATTGCTAACTTTGATAAATATTGATTAAAACAATCATCATAGAATTCTACAGATTTCCCTTCTGGAAAAATAGGTTTATACATATGGTCTTTGATCTCCACTTCTACCTTCTTCCATTGTTTCACTCCTCTTTTGTCTGTCACCTGAGAACCAAAAATCAAATTGAAGCACAATTTATTTCTTGATTTGAACTCTATTATCTTTGATAAGGTAAATTAGACAGTTTTTTTTACTGTATTAAATTAAAAAAAATTAAATATTATTTATTATATGGTCCAGTATGATGTAATACTGCATTTTAAATATGTACATAGAGTATATTTGGTCATGCATTATATAAAATTTCTTTAGTCATGGTCTTGTACAAATAATATTTGGATTAAATTAATCCTTCCTTAGTCTTTTAGAATTTAAATAATCCTGAATGAGATAGGTTTAGTCGCGATTATTCATTTCTCATAATGCATGTTATAAATGTAAGGGAAAAAAATATTTAAAAAATAGATATAGAAAAAAATATTTAAATTTACTTATAAGTAAAATGAAAATTTTAGAATAAATAATTTTTATTAATTGAAATTAACCCTAAATAAGTTTTAGCCCCTGTTTGTTTATCATTAAAGTAGGAAAATTAGTTTTGTAATAGTAAATTTTTGGATAATGCGTGATTAAAAAGTGGGAAAATTTTTGGATTTATGTGCAAAATATTTTATTGTGAAAATGTATGGTTGAAAAAGAGTTTGATTTTAAAAAAAAGATAAATTTAAAATAATGGTAGACAAACATGTAACTTTTCATATAAAGTAAGATAAAAGTAAGTTATTGGCACATCTTTGGATGTCCTCAACTTGAATTTTAATGAATTTCCAAATATTATAAATGAATTTTATGAATTACTTAGTAGAAATTATTCTATTTTTTCTTATATCTAACCAAAAACATTCTTTTAATTTTATTTTTTTTGTTTTTAAATAATTATATATTTTTCTAATTCAATGTTGCACGAAACAGAGATTGCGTTAATCAATCTTAACTATCCGCTCAAATTTTATCCACCTTAATCCTATATGATGAAACATAACCTTGAATTTATATCGAATTGAAGAGACAAGATAGAATGCCTAATGAACATTTCACTTACTTTTCTTAATCTTGTTCAATTATATTATCAACTGTAGCAAACAAAAAACATAATCACACTGTGCATTAAATTTGTGGTGTTGGATCACCTGCCTGAGTCATATACTCTATCTATTAGTAGAGATGACAATGGGGAGGGTCGGAGTTGGGGCAACCTCCCCCGTCCCGTCGAGTAATTTCCTGCCTCGTACCCGTTTAATTTTTCTTTTTTTAAACTTTTTGATAATTCATTTTATTACCCTCTTTTATTAAAGTGAGACAATAATATATTTTTTAATTTATTTTTAAAAAAGTGAAATCATTTAACATATTTGGTAAAATAAGGCTTTTATTGTTTGTCATATTTATTAGATAATCTTAGTTGTCATATTATATTAGAACTAATGAAATTTCGTTGATTTTTTCATTTAAAGTGTTGAATTCTAAATAAAAAAATTTAAAAATTAAACAGGGCGAGACCCTTGTTACCCGTACCCACCCTAGAACGAAGTCTCCCGCCCTTCCCCGACCCAAATACCCGATTAAGTGGGTAATACCTGCCGCATTCGGGGCGCGATCGGATGGGTATCGAGTTTGACAGGTTTTTTTTTTATCATCCCTATCTATTAGTTGGATGCTTTAAATATTCGCTTAAATTTAAAAAATAAAAATTAAAAAGACAGCAACAAGAGAACATGGTCAATACTTCATAAAAAAAAATCCATTGTTAATGTTATTATCAAATTGTACACGCACAAAAATATCTCTTAATTGTTCAAAAATTAACTGAAAAGCGATTCTTTAATAAAAAAGAATTCTCCTAAAAATACACAAACGCGATTCTTTAATAAAAAAGAATTCTCCTAAAAAATCACAAAAATTGACTCGAGAGGGAGAGAGATGAAGTACCATAATAGAAGAGAACCTTGGGTTGATAGGGAGAAAAACATCTTTAAGCAATGCCTCAACTTGCGAATCGTCGACCTCAATCGGAACTTCTGTCTCCAACACTCCAATAACAGACACTGATATTACAGAGCTGGTGAAGTATTGGCCAGTAGGGCTAACAGGCAGTGATTCTTCTTCTTGATTGATGAAGTTGAACTCCATTGGTGTTTTGTTTTGTTTTTCCTCTCAAAGTGCAGCAAATGCAGACAGTACTGACCTAAATGCTAACTGTTTTATACCTTCTATTATTGTTGGGGAGTGGGTGCAAATATTTATTACCACCGATGCAAATGTCATAATTCAATTTGGCATGAAAAACAATTAAATATTGGGAATATAAGGAAAAATCAAGGAATTCAGAAATTTTTATAATTGAAAAGGTGTGAGAAAATTCCTAACTAAAGATTCATGCATAATAATGATGGTTTAGACAATTCATAAACAATTGCAAAGCAGAAAGTGAGAGAAGAGTTTTCATAGGAGGGACCAAAATGATAGATGAATTATATAGTTATTTAATATTCCCTTTATTTCATAACGATAGACTTGTTTTATTTTTACACAAATTAAAAAAATTAATATACGTTGAAAGTTACATTCATTTTTTCTATTGCACTTCTCAATAAGTATGAAGATATATAGACGTAAAGGGATACAAAAAGTAATTTTGAAAGAAACTATTACAATCTCTTAACATGACCGAATAGTCAATATCACATTAATGATGATCCGAAAGACAATGATACAATTGGCTTGATTGATATAAGATAAAGAAAAGTAATTTGATTGATTTTTATATTAATAATGAAAAGTCTATGTGCATTAATGCACTCATTTTTCATGTATTCAACTCATCTAGGTTGATAGCCTTCTAATAGCTTGGAAGACTTACGAAAGTTGAAACATTAAACACTCTATTGAACTAGAATAATGCTATGTGTACACCACAAGGTGCACACAATGCATTACACACCCCCCCCCCACTTGGAGGGTGCCCCACAAATGTTTTATTGTGTGTGGGCTCCCCTCCAT